AATTTATATTTTTTAAATTCCAGTTATGCGTTATTACTATAAAATTTAGTTTATGAAAGCTGCTGATCACATTATGCAGCAAGTAATATTAATTTAAACACTGCATAAAGTAACCAAACTGTCCAATTAAATCACAAATGACAAACTTTTCTCACGTTTTTATTCCATTTCTCAACCAATGGTATAAGGCACCTGAAAACCATTCTTTACTTTTTTTAATTCCAGTTGTGCCGTATAACTATAAAATTTAGTTTATGAAAGCTGCTGATTACATTAGGCAGCGAGTAATATTTAGATTATACACTGCATAAAGTAACCAAACTCTCCAATTAAATCACAAATGACAAACTTTTCTCACGTTTTTCTTCCATTTCTCAACAGATCAACCAATGGCATAAGCCACCTGAAAAGAATCTTTCTTTCCCTTTTTTTTTTAATCCAATCGCCACACATCGCCGGAAGAACGTAACATTGAAAGGAATGTCCCCACTTTTTCACCAAGAATCGTTTTTTGACCCATTGCAGCGTGTAAGAGCCATCAGAACATGGCGAGGCATCTACTGTTATCTTAAGTCCTCCGACCATTCTGTTGCCGGACTATTTGAATAAATCTCCCCAGTCCAGTCATCAAGGTATTCCGGACCATTGACCGCCAAGGGTGCTTTTGGCGAGGAGGTTTATGTTTGGTTTTCGATTAATTCTGTCCGACTCATTTGTTGGTAGGACTTCTTTCTAAGAAGGTGAATTGGGTGTCCTTTTGTTCCAGAAGTGATTCAGGACGACATGATTGTAACTCTTCGAAGTGGTGTTCTTCTTCTTGGCGAGGCTGGCATAAAATGAATGTGTCATTGAGATTCCTGCGTTGCCCTCGCCTAAATGTGTTGCCCAATTGAGCAAAGAATCGCCAGTCGTTACATCGGCGGTACACGTATAATTAATTATTTATTGGTGTCAGAGAAACATACGATGTACGTTTAGTGTGTGTCAATGTCAACATTTTCTTTCAGAACAAAATACTTTTTTTTTCTGTAGTACTTTATAGAATTACAATAGAAGCGGGAATATTTTGATTAAGGTATTTCAGATTAAATATTTAAATTTTCAATAAATAAATCTGCAATTTGACATAATTGGAGTTTGCGTCATGCATCCTTTTATCATCGTTTTAATATTAGGTAAAAATATTTATTGCAAGCAAATTTTTAATTTCAAATTTTTATGTTTAATTCTTTGAAATTAAATTTAATTAAAAAGTTTTAAGAATCACAAATGGTAAAAATTTTATTAAAAACCTATACGAGTTCCGATTGCACAATGGTACATCTTAATCAGTATGAAATAGGACAAAAGACAAAAACGGTAAAGACAGAGATGATTAAAATCCAACCGAAATTACATTATATTATTAGTGATAAAGTGAAGAGTCTAAAAATAAAATATTAAAAAAATTTATGATTTCGGTTTGTTAGACAAATATGGTACTGCAGTAAGGTAATTCATAATAGTTTTTGTTTTTGATGGTGTAGTAACTCTCTCAAAAATCCAGGTCAACTACTGAAATATATTTATAGATATTGTCACGACGTTGCCTCGTGACAATTCTCGTGGTCAAACTTGTTAATTAAACAGTTGATTAAGATCCCGTGCTCTCATCTCGCAATCGAATGGTCAGTTGAACTTTTAACTTTCTAGAAATTTGTCACAAGATGCTTGTTTTGTCGACCTTTGGATGCATGATAAGAACACGAGACCACGTTTAACCCCTTAAAATAATATATATAAATAAACCCAAAAAAAAGAGGAGTTGGTCAGAAAGAGAATTGCCTCTCAATAGTCTCCTCAGTCCGATTGCCTCTCAATACGAGCAGCTATGGGTAAGTGTGGTCCTCCTTCTCCTTATTGATAGGTATAATGATTAGTAATAAATAAAATGTAACTTTAACTTTCAATTTGGATATTCTTTAATTATATACCCGTCACAATAATATGAGGTGAAGAAAACCGCCCTTCTTACGCCCTTCTGTTCAGAAATGCTTCTCGATGAGTTGATGTTCTTTGAGCCGGTATTTAATGTTTGAACTCGTTTCGTTCACATAGTTTCGCACACATAGAACTCTTTTTGTTTGTCCTATGCTTGATAGTCCACATTGGCATGAAATTTTCTTAATTTCTCTGGAGATGAAATTGGATTTGTTCTCGACTTAGATGGAATTGGATATTTTCTTGATTTATTGAGTGACAGTTAGAGCTGCTGCTCCAGACTTTACCAGAGACTGAGTTAGACTAGTTCCTGTTTTCATTGAAAGTGAAATAAAATAAGTTCCTTATTAGTTAGATTTGTTCCTAATTATGTTTGAGTAAAAGTTGTTCCTGTCCTGTGTTATTTAACGGATAATTTTGATTCATTAGGATTAAAAATGTGTGTACTGGTTCATTATTGTTGATTTGTCTAGTTAGATGTGTTCTTGACTAGAGTTGGAATTAGATTTGTTCCTGACTTCATTAGATGTCAAATGAAATGAGTTCCAGATAAATTTGGAGTTTGATTTGTCCCAAATAACGCTTGAGCTCTAACTTGATCTGTTCCTGCTCTTTTTTTTTTTTTCTAAATCAGTCGATGGATTAGTTTGGAATTGGGACATATATATGACTATATATGTCCCAATATATATAATGATAGGCCCCATTTTTGAGTAGTTTAGGAGAGTATATTTGGTAAAACCATCATAGAATTTTCTTGTAGACGGTAAGATCTGTCTGCATAATGTGATGTTATTTAATACTAGCTTCTAAAATTCCGAATGCAAATTCTAAAAACTGAAAAATTTTCGATATACAAACAATAAAAAGTGTCTTAGGAGAAAGTGTGGCTTGTCATTTTATTGCCCCCAACCATTTATTTTAATTGATTATAAATCTTTCCTGGATATTTTAGGATCATCTGAAAGTATAAAAATGTGTATGATATAATTCATTGCAGCTCTTTGGAAAGAAGACTTGAACATCGATTTGCCTTCATTTAAATCCCATTGCTTTTCAAAGCTATTTTCGTACGCTTATAAATAATTCTACAAATGAATTGACAAAGAACGTCACTTAGCCACCACGCATTTAATCTCAATTGATCAGCGAAAGGTTAAAAATCACACAAGCGTGGGAGTGACAAATAAAAGGAGTGGATTCAGCGTCAAACCTCAACAGCGGACTCAATAAACTCCTTGAGGGCGAGAACAACAACAACAACTCGATAAATAGGAAAAAGGTTCTGGAATCAATCGAATTATACCTGCGAGACACGTGCAGGACGTTTGTCTTTTAGCGCGCACGTTCCTGAGTAATTGGCGCGTCAAAGGGCAGGCGCGCGTGCCACAAACCCTCTCAAGGTTTTAATCTTGAAGGAATCCTGAAGAGATTTCAAGCAGTGACGTATGGTCTGAGTCTAACTAAGGATGAAGATTCTCACTCATCGAGAGCCCGGATGGAGTTTTGTTTGAGGGTGGGATTTAGAAGATTCCGAAAGTCACATAAATAATTCCATCCTTTTCCTTCCTCTGTCCCCAGAAAAGATCCATCATTGATTACTTGATTTATTTAAGACAGGGATCATTGGCTTTTATTTGATTTGCTTATGACAATTATTTTATCCTTTGTGGAGTTTTACCTTACAAACATTTTATTCCAATGAATAATCACTGAAAATTAACATTAAATGTGCATCAAAATAGCTGAATACACGGAAGATTAATTGCACTTTACCTTTCATGTGTATGTCGTAGACTAATTGAAAAATCCGGCACATTAGGAAAGGTCACCGGTATTTTGAATATTCTTGTTGCAATCAGCCTATATACCTTTAGGCTAATAAAAAATTGCTGAAAAATTATTCGTGTTGAATTTGCTTATGCATATCGAAATAAACCTACAATAACTCGATTTACAATAAAAAGCATTTGCTACGATAGAGCAGAAAATCTTACAATTAGCCTTTACTATTCACTTGTCATTTATAGCAAACTGCCCGAAATATATCAGGCTAATTTAACAATGAATAACGCATTGTCTTATTAAATTTAAGGTATGTGAGCTCCCTGCATTATTCCTACTGTAAACCTTATGGGGGCCGGAATAGCCTGGCTGCTAGGACGTTAGGCCTATCTCCGTCAGCTCGTGAGTTTGATTCCCACCAGCATAAAATTTTCCGTGTACAAAATGATGACTGGTGCACGCTAAATCTGTCTGGGTCACAAAGTCCTCCTAGTTCCCTTAATAAATCATTACCTCTGTGGGTACTGGATCGGAGATTGATCGTGCTCTAGTCAGGTCAAAATTACGATCAGCGGTTGAATGGTGTGTGAATGTGTCGTCTCCGTGAAACGTGATGTGACGCATGTATGTTGTCTCTGGATCATCCTCAGGGATGTTTCCCAAACCGCAGACAATAACCCATAGTGTAGCTCTAGGGAGGCGTTAATAAAAGTATAGTACCCTATCGTAAACCTGGTGCATCAAAAAAAAACGGTGGCTGTTTGAAAAAAATACGGATTATTCAATTAGCCTAAAATAGGTATACTTGCTATTGACGTCTAAATTGCAAATTTTTTTTTGCAATGTTAATATGTTTATGTTATCAAGCTGTTAACTAGGCTTACTGCTTACCAAAAACTGTTTTATGATATTTTAAATTGTAGAGCTTTGAAGAAAAACGTGTTAAGATAGATTTGATTTATTACAATGCTTTACATACCCTTGGTAAAGTTCCTATGGTAAATTTATCACATTGCTTATAACTTGGTAAAGTTATACCTTGGTACTAGTGCAAATGTTATCTTTCAATGATTAGTTAGTATAAACCAACACACGAACATCAATCTAAAATTTAAAAAAAAGGATGGTTAAATTGCTAATTAATTATACTGCACTACCTTCCATATGCATTCTTACATTTTTGTCTAACTTACAGCCGCTTTTTTGTATGGTAATGTATTTATATCTACATCCAGCAGGCAATTTGTTCTACTGTTTTCAAGGACTGTTTTATGAAACTTATGGGACTTATAAAGTGAAGAGTTAGAAAAACAGGTGAGGTGATATTTTATTTAATCAATTACGTGATTTATTTTGTTAAGTTGAAACATTAAGCGTTCTATGGTTGATCAAATTATGCAGTGAAAATAATATTTAATTTCGCAGGTCTGAAAGAATGTTTCGGTCATCTGTAGGTACCAGACATTATTTTAATCTACCCAGTGCTTCTTTTCCTTCTAGAACAAAAACAAAAAAAAATTATTAGCTCTAAAAAATTTCTTCCCACTTATATTTTATAGAGATGGATCATCTATGGATCACTTAATTATGTCTAAGCATTTAACTTTGTTTTTAAGGGCTTCTATCTTTTAATGGCCATGGTAGGAATGTCACAACAGGGATCAGACGACGTGTTCAGCTCCTGAACTGGTATTCATCTTTCCAAACTTCAGTACCACAATCAACGAGAGAACTCACACGACCCCTAGCTATCCACCGGAGGGGATGAACAATCCCTTTAACCCCTTACCCTGCACCACTGAAACATTTGTATAATTTACATGCTCTTCAATTATACTTTATGAAGATGCAATATTTTCTTGGTGTTAACCTTTTGTGTAGTTAGATGCTACAACTCTTAATGATCGAATGGTTAAAAAAAATTACTGAAAACAAATCAGTCTATATTATGAGAAATTAAATACACTCAAAATCTGCGATTTTAAGTCATTTATGAACCAGGATAATATTTTTGAAGTGCATTTTGATATGTTTAAAAAATATCTATCAATGAATTTTAACAGATATCGCAAAATTTAAAGACAATCCAAAACGCTTTTAATAAATAACATGGTATTATAAAGCTGTTCCAAAAATATAACAGTTAAAAGGTATCTGTTTTTAGATAACAGACATCTGTGATTGTTATCCCTCATTGGTCCTAAATATTCCTATGTAATCAAATCTCTTGTAATTCATTCTGAAAAAAAAGTTAATAGTCTTGGTGACTTTCAGCCAATTTGGCGATGAATCAGGTAGGCAACCATCTCACTATTTTATCTCAATGCAAATTCTGAGTAAGCGCTAACCGGAAGGTAAACAAGGCAATTCACGTACTGTCACTATTCGAAACATGTCCTCAGGCAGAGTGGGCAGAAGATTTGCGAGAACGATCCTAAAATAGGTTGATGCCAGGCGCATGACAGATTCGTTGGCGACACTGTTCATTTTGGTCACAATGCGAAATGTGTCGTAAATCAGAAGCACAACTTCTGGCAGGGCGACGCACTGTCGCATCATATATGCTGGATTAGTTGTTATACAAATGTTATAAATGTCTTCCAGCATTGGCAATAAAATGCTGTAAGCAAATTTGTGCCCGCATCTATTTCTAAATGCCACTGATTAAGTCACTAATACGTCGTTGTTACGTTTACGACTTAAATTTTTAAGGATCGTATATTATCTGTGTCACAGTTGCTAAATGTGTCACGTTATTACTTTTTAATTGTAATTTATTTAGACATAAAAATGACAATCATTTACCAGAACAGGACCCTGTATGTCAGTGTAGTGTTACTTTCGATAAAATGTCCCGCTAATAAAATTCCATTGAAATTTTTTTGTTCTTTAATTTTAAGAAAAGAACAAGTGATAGCAGATGAAATTTTATAAGTTCGTTTAGAATTATCTGAAAAATTTAAATACTTAAATACGAGATACTGTTTCTTTTTTATTACTATTATTCATACAAATGTTTATATTCGGTCAATATAAGTATATCCGGTCCGCATTTGGGAAGGAGATGTTGATTTTAAGGCCAACACAATCCACTTTTATTTATTTCAGAAGAAAATATTCTTTTTGAATCTACTCTTAGAGTAAATCGTAAATTTTTTGTTGAGAATCCTAAGAACAGTTGAAAGAATAAGTTGATCAAAGGAGTTAAATAACATTAAAAATATACGTTAAAATGTTACCGAAATCGAGTTATTGTGAGTAAATGAAAAAGGAAAAATAAATAAATTATTGCTTGATATAAACAGTGTCATCAAGAAAGTAAATGAAAGCGTGAGAGATTAACTTAGCCATCCCCAATTTTTTTTCTCTTTCATATTTCCTTTGAAAACTAAAAGGAAATACTTTTAGTGAGGCTGGTTCAGATACGAACCTGGTGGCTTACGTTATCTTTAATATAGTACATGCCTTCGTTTAGACATAACTTAGCTACTTTTTGTTGGAATAATTTACATTTGTAATTAATAATTTAATTGATTTAATGGTAAAGTTATTTTATGTTTTATTAATTTTCTTGATTTGTATTTTGACTATAAAAAGTCGAAACCAAAAATAAGTAAGTAAAAACAACGTAAGCAATTAAGAAATACGAAGAAGTTACTTTTGTTCTGAGTCGTTGATTGAGTGAGGTTTTTATAATTAACATTTATCGTTTATTTGCGTTTTTTAATAATTTGAAATACAGAGTCGTTACGACATCAATATAATTGTACAATATAATTGTTCGATCACGACCGTTTCGGTATTATACAAAAATATTCAAATCGCTTCAGTATTTTATAGCACTAAAACAATTGTCTACTCTATGAACCTGCATATTTGTGCTTATTGTAGGTTAAAAAAAAAGAAAAAAGAACACGATTGTTTTGGAATTATATAACATCAAATCTATTTACTACTTTTTGAACCTAATTATTAGAATTTAAAATACGAGTGGTAGTTACGGTATTGTATAGTACCAAATCAATTGTTTAATTATGAAATTGCTTATTTGTGCTCGTAGTAGTTTAAAAAATAGACGATTGTTTTGATTATTGTATTGCACCAAAAATATTGTGAACTTTATGAACCAAATTATTGCATTTTAAAATACTGTCGGTCTTTTCGGTATTGTATAGTACCAAAATAATTGTCTACTTTATAACCTGCTGCTTATTTGTGCTTATTGTGGTTTTAAAAAAATAAAAAAAATAAAAATAAAAAAAACGCTTGTTTCGGTATGGTATAGTACCAAAACAATTTTCTACTTCATGAACACAATTATTTGTGTTTATTACAGTTTAAAATACGAGCGGTAGTTTCGGTATTATACAAAAAATATATTGATCATTACGGTATTGTATTGCATCAAAACGATTTGTCTGATTTCTGATCTTGTTCATATAAGCTTAATACAGGTTCATAAACAGATAATCGTTTCGGTTCCAATTCGTTCGTTTATCGTAACCGTTCATTTAAAAGATCATTAACTCCATGAACCTGTTTCTTTTCTATTAAACATATTTTACTACGCGCACTAAGGTTGTCTCAGCTATTTTGGAAACTTTTATTGCCTTTTGCATTAATTTTTTTCTTTTGTAAAAAAAGATCCAATTGCCCATGTTCAAAAATGTAAGAACTTCTTTTCGAAATCAATTTTTTACTTTTACTTATGAACTATTTTGACTGAGCAACGCCTGCTTGTTTTATTATTATGTTTAACTAGTAAAAGTTTTATTATTTAGACATAAGGCATTTCATTTTATTGAAATCACTTTTGAAATTTCAGTGAAAGCCTCATTTTTATAGGTCCATATTAAGAAAAGAAATAAAAGCTTAGCAGACATTTTTGCAATTAAGTTTTTACAATGTGCCAAATCTCTGTTGAACAAATAAAGGAGGGTAAATAATGGTTAAACAACATTAAATAACATATAAATCAAAACAACTTAAAGGACTTTTATGTCCAATGGCCAAAAACCATTATATTGAACGAAGAGAAAAATATTTTTCTCAGAAATTAAAGATAAGAGTAATAACTCATCGATGTAAAATGGGTAAGAAAAACAACTTTGTGCCGCAATACAGGTAATAAAATTCTAAGAAATAGATAGTAAATAATATTTGCGCGTTTAATAGCTTCTTCCAATTAGATTAATCTCAAGAAAATAACATAGTTTAACGTGTTTTGTTTTTTTGGTAAAAAGATTTCATTTAAATGAGCAATTCTTGTTTGCAGCTATAAACCACCGTTTGACTGATTAGGACACAATTCAAAAATGCTTCGACAATTATGATATTAAATAATGGAAAATGATTAATAATCTGTAAAAATTATATTTTGATTGAAATTGTCTTTAGCTAAACATATTTTATAATTTTGCGCTTTGTTTTTGCACAATTCTAAAGATATGGAGAAATGCACATTGAGAGGTTCAAAATTTCGAGTGTTCTCGTAATGGGAAAATATTTTCTACATTTTAAGGGTCAATCAAATAAATCTAAATCCATCCCAAAAAAATAGCATGTTTATTCAGAAAAAGAATGTTTCAGTATTCAGATTCACATAACATAAACACAAATTAATTAGCATTATTAACTTTTGAACCTCGGACTCTTGGAATCCGATAATCATTAGGAAAAATCAATCATTAGAATAAAAGTTATTAAAGTGTGCCGTAATTAGTTTTGCGCATAGTGCGCCGTAATCAAGCAGAAATTTTGACGATTTACTAATTTTTCCTGAAACGTTCATTCTATTTTTTTGTTTTTTCTATTTTTTTCTTTTGTAATTGCTCTTGAAGTGAATAAGAGCTGCGATGACTCAGTGGTTAAGGCACTGGGCTGTAATTGTGAAGAACTGTGGTTCGATCCCCAGCGGCGGCTTGAAATCTACTCAGCTTCAGATTGATGGGTACCAGCGTATCTGGGAAATGGAGCGACCTGTAACAATACTGACCACATTGCCGCTATCATGCCGCTGGTCTCGAAATTGTGGAGCCTTTCTCCATGCCCCGTCCCCTGGCCCACAGCGGGCAGTTGAGGGAATGCTTTAATTTTTTTTAAAAGTGAATAAAGAAAACAAAAATATACAATGAATACAGATAAAAATTAATTTCGTTATTAAGTCGAATAGAAATACAAAATCACAATCCATTACTAATCAGATTCAGGTAACTAACCAGATTAATCAAATGCGATATCAATCTGGACAATCTACGAGAAATCATCCGAGTTAAGTTTTAATTTTAAAAAAAAGAAGTTTAAACCAACTAAATA